TATATATATCTATCTATATTTATATATATTGTCAAAAAGAGGGTTGAGATCCCAGGAAAGCTGCCTTAAATGAAGGAATGCAGTTCGATATGAAAGTAGGATAAAGGGACACAAAGCATATAATAAGTAATCATTTTAAAGAAGGTATGTATAACATAGGAATAATGAAGTGATTTAACAAATGTAAACTGATAATAATAATGTATGTATAACTGAGTAAGAAGTGAAGTCTGTGTATGAGTGGAAAGAGCTGATGTAAGCAGGGTGGGGACCTTAAAGAATGAGATCATAACAGATGTTGGGGTGATGTCCGAACATGTCCATAGGTGTAACCTGAAACACGTTCGAAATGAAGGAAGTGAGAGTATCCACACACAGAAAGTTAGGGTGTTGTTCGCAGCACACACACATAATCAATGATATCATGTAAATCACATGCCGAAGGGAGGGAGTTTTGGGGAGGAGGGGGGTGAGAGAGCCCCAAGATTATAAAAACGAAGACTTGCAGATAGCAAGACGGGATTCAACGCGGGAGCCACCCAAGTGCTCCACGGAGAAAACACTGGACCTCGCTCAACAACCGCATCGGAGGACTTCGTCTCTGTTCACGGAAAGAAGACAGCCGTTCCAGGACAAAGATTGAAAGACGGAGATTTTCCTCTCCCCCCTGTTTGACTTTAACAACCGGACAACAGATGGACGCAGCCGCCCTAAAGACTTCGTACTGAGTCTGAGAGAGCGCTGAACGGACTTCGTTGGCCTCGCAGGAGGAGCTGAAGGTTCGGCCGGACTTTCAGCTCCTGAAAACCCCAAAAGGACTTTTTATTACATCGTGAATCCAGCTCCACCGAGCCGCCTCGGCATCGACAATTAATGAGTATAACCTGAGAAGAAATTGTAACCTGATTGAATCAAGTATCGTATTATTTTATGAGAGCTGTAGCTGTGCCCATGCTAATATATCCTGCAATAAATATCTAATCTGGATTTAAAGTAAAGTTCTCAAGAGCATTCATTTGCTGAGGTAGTAGAAGTTCCTCATGGCAGTAAAAGGGTAACGCTATTGTATGTTAACAACAAGAGTTCTTAATGGTTATCCTAGTGACCGGTCCACTTAACAGTCCCTTACGGTTTTAGTTGTGATCCTAGCCGTTAAAACCTAACCTGGCAATTTACCAAGAGCCCGGATCCAGAAGAGGAAAGCTGCCATAACTGACGCGACTAGGTAGAAGCGCCCGGCCAGGGTGGCCCCTCGGCCGAGTGCATGTTACCAGTGGAAGCAGGGTAGACGTCAGGAGTAACGGTAGTTAGCAGAAGCCAGGCGAGTTTCCTCGACAGAACACCAGCTCGACAATCTTTTAATCGAGAGCTGAGTCAGTAGGTAGCCCCGTATCGGGCCAGAGAACCCCCGGATCTAACAATATCTATATCTATATATCTATATGTATATATCTATATATATGTATATATCTATATCTATATCTATATTAGGATCACATCAACTGCAAACAGCAGAGAGGCGGTCCCGAAACCCCCAAACCTGACGTCCATGGGCACTGATCCGGACCCCCATGTGACATTGAAGAGGCGTGTCAGCCAAGACAGCCCAACAGTGTCCAGCGCCTTCAGCATCTCAGGGCAGATCTCATCCACCCCCGGCGCCTTGCCACCAAGGAGCTTTCTGACTACCTTAGCGGCCTCCGCCAGGGATATGGGTGCGCCCACCCAAGTCTTCAGGCGCTGCCTCCTCTCCAGAGGACATGTTGGTTGGGTTTAGGAGTTACTCAAAGTGCTCTGTTCACTGCCCGACGATGTCCCCCGTCCGGGTCAGCAGCCCCCCGCTGAGAACAGCCTGGGTAGGCCATGCTTTCCCTTCCTGAGTTGTCGGATGGTTTGCCAGAACCTTCTTGAGGCCAACCGAAAGTCCTTCTCCATGGCCTCCCCGAACTCCTCCCATGCACGAGTTTTAGCATCCGCGACTACCGCAGCTGCAGCCCTTCTGGCCTGCCGGTACCTCTCAGCTGCTTCAGGAGACCCCTGAGCCAACCAGGCCCGAAAGGCCTCCTTCTTCAGCTTGACGGCTTCTGTCACCTTCGGTGTCCACCACCGGGGTCTTGGGTTGCCGCCACAACAGGCACCAATGACCTTCCGACCACAACTCTTAGCGGCCGCGTCCACAATAGAGGCTTTGAACATGGTCCACTCGGATTCCATGTCCCCAACCTCCTTCGGGATGTGTGAGAAGTTGAATCCATGCTTTGTTAGTATTAGCCGACAAGCAAATAACTTGTTTTCTTAATGGAGCTCGGATCGATCGGGGCTATTCTATGCTAACATTGTAGCAGCTCCATCAACACTGAAAATAACGTCATCTAGGTGTAAATACGGCAGCGTCTTTTTCATTGTTTGTACATATACACATAGTTTGGTCCAGTCTCTACTAATATGAGGTATCGTAGAGCTCTGGGTGCTCACCTACGGCTACAGTATTTGTTTCCTGATTCAACGGCAGGACCTCAGTGATGACAGGAGGAGCATCTCAACGCTGATAGGCTATCGTGCCACAGTATCACACTTTTTTTCCGCCTAAATTCCAAAATATCAGTCTGTCGTGCCACGCCATTCGCATCATGTAATCTACTCGTGCGAATAATTCGCATCGCGTTTGGTGTGAACACAGCATAACTCTGTGTGTAATGTCTCTATCAGATTGAGACTGAATGATCCACATTTGTTCAGATGTTGATAACTCACCTCACCATACTTGTTCTTCATGAAATTACATTAGGCCCTTTAGGCGGAGTTACCTGGTCCTTAACGCGTTATTTCTTTAAACACAGTCGTCACCGTGAGATTCTAGATTTGTTTGTGGCACAATCAGAATCAAAGCCGTTACTTCAGACACATTTATCCTTACGGACTCGAAGTCTCTTTAGGTCAAAAGACTTCAATATTTGTGTCACGGGGCATGATGGAGGACTCAAACGCAGACCAGACGTAAAGTGAAGTGGGAATTTAATGAACACTTAAATCAGAACATGAACACACAGGGAATCCAGGGACAAGACAAGAGACAAAGGGGCAAATCCAGCAGGACGAGGCAGGGCAGGCAGACGTGAGAAACCGGGAACAGGACGAGCACAAACGGGCGGGTAGAACACAAACAATGACCTGGCAGTGAGTGACTGAGGCCAAATCCCAATGTCCCCCTAAACCCTGAACCCTCAAGGACTTACTGACATCACCTGGTGAGTGGGTGAGTGTGAGAGACTGAGGGCTTGAGATGGTGGAAATAGGAATGGGATAGCACTTTGCTGCAACATATCATGTTACCATGAAAACGACAAAAAATATGATGTATTGTGGGTATTTATTTTATACTTTGTACTCCATGATTTGAACGTCTTCCAGGCTCTTTTCTCACAAGATGAGGTGATTTTATATAATCTATTTACTCGTTTTTATCAAAACAGCTTCAATGACAAAATCAAATATTTGATGAATAAATAAATAAATATTCTCTGATTTCATGTTTATTTGTTGTTCCATCTTTAACCCGGGTTGTTTCTGTGTAAATGTAATACTCCGTCCTCTTTGTTCACCTTTTTTTTTAACGTCTCCATGCGTCCACTGGTTACCCCGTGTTTAACGTCACATTGCAATGATTTGTGGGTAATTCCCTTAGGCTAAGTCAGCATACCATGCTGACTTACGGAAAGGGTTCATAATGGGCTCAAAATGTCTGCCAGAGAGCCTCAAACACTTGACAATTTGACAGTGGGACAGCCCTAAACTCTCACGGACTTCGCGGGAGTGCGCCTCAAAGTCCGTGAGTCCGTAAGTGGGGACATTGGGATTTGGCCTCAGAGACAGGGGTTTATAAAGTGACTTTAACAGGTGAGGGGAGTTGTGCTGATGAGGAGGGAGTGCTTGATTAGAGGCAGGTGAAGGGAGTTAGGCTGATGCTGAGGGAGTGACTGACAGGTAGAGTGAGGAGGGTGAAGCTACACAAAGACACACAAGGCAAAGCCTGATCGTGACAATTTGATGTTGTCTTATGTTCTCTGCTGTCATGGGAATAAAACTTGACTATCAAATATTCACCTTTGTTTTCCCGTCCTCTTTTATGCAGCAATATTTAGAAAACTCCTAGAAGGTAGTAGTCTATATTATGAAACATTTTTGACCTAAGTTTTCACGAACAAGAGCATTTCTATGAAATGAGGTCAACAAATATCCACAAATGCCTGTTAATGCATATAAAATATTATTATGAATATTGACAAACTATTCAATTTTCCTAATTTAGTACAATTTTAAATCCCAATTTGACTTTCAATGTTCAGGGTAAATTTTCCAAATTTCAGTATCTCACCGGATGTTTAGAAGTCTATCTGGACTCAATCAGGTCCTTCAGGATCCCATGTGAAGACGATCAGGAGCAGCTGTGTATCGGTCCTCTCTCCTAATTTAGTTTGGAGGTAGTGGCAAAAGGAGTTTCCTTCTGGAGGGCCAGTTCACCAATCGCTGTTTGCTCCTGATGATCTTTCAAGGGTTCCTGTTCATGACGCCAAGTTTGTGGTGGAAAAACTATATAATAGTACCGAGTGAGTCCTATAACACTGAAATAAGGAACATCGAGAAAAGAAAGTTTGTCTTTAAAGTATTTATTCTCTGCGCAGAGAGGGTTCAATCATCACACAGAGTGCCTGTGAGCAGTCTGTGGGATGAAGAGCCCCGTGTGTAGTCTGCGTACATCTTACAGAGGCTCAGTGCATAGGGGAAGGGAATGGGGGGGTGTAGGATGAGTCCCCACTAAGACATCTGTTTCTGCTTCTAACCTAAACATTCTGTGATTTACTATCTCCAAGTTAAACATTCTGTTACTTCATTTTATGGAAGCTATAGCAGACATCCCATATGTTCTTGTCAAACATTAAAGCACACACACGCATAAACAATATATATGGTCTTGTTATTGAGTCAGGAAAGTCACAGTCGAAAAATACTTGGCACAGGGGAATTTTCGATCAGACACAGCCTGCCTGAAAGTGCATTCAGTTGTCAAACAAAGCCAAACCTAGGAGTGCTGCTGCAGTTAAAGCTTCCTCACTGCATGGCGGATACAGCCACACCATTCTATCAAGCGCAGCTCAAACATTTTAGATCCTTTATTTCACCGCAAAGGACGGGAATTATTAAATCACATTTCAATCTGTTGCGTCATAAAAACATCGACATATGTTCATATTTGGAATCATGTGATTTTTGATTTAGCTTCAGTGCAGAAATTATGTTGTGTCCCAGAGGTCATCCTCGATCACGTCCAGGTCAAAGAAGACCTCCAGCTTCCACTGCAGGGTCTCAAATGTGGGCCGATCCTGGTCGTTCTTCTTCCAGCAGTCCATCATCATGTCATACATGACTTTGGGACAGTTGGGGGGGCTTGGCATCCTGTAGCCCTGGGAGACCATCTGGACGACTTGGAAGTTCGACATGGCTGGGGGGGGAGGGGTCACAGAAGGACATTATAGCTTATCTCGCAGGAGACAATTGTTTCGCATTAAAATGTTTGAGCTATTTAGAAACCACAAGAAAAGAAACTGCGTTTTGACTTTCCAGAAAATTCTGAATACATCACTTCCATTTATTTAAATCTCTGTTCAGAGAATCATTTATGACTAGGGTGACGAAAGTCTCACCTGGGTAAGGCATCTGTCCAAACGTCATGATCTCATACAGCAGAATTCCAAAAGACCAAATGTCCGATTTGATGCTGCACTTGTTGTCTAGGATGGCCTCTAGTGCGGTCCACTTCACAGGGAATTTAGTTCCTTCTTTGGCTTCGTACACATTTTCATTCTTTTTCTAGAAACAAAAAATATATAGATTTTCTTTTACTGTCAGTAAGTCAGCTTTAGTGTAGAGATTCGGCGGCAACATCTGGGTGTGAAAAGTGATGCCAATGAAGCAGAGGTGCCTTAAGGCCTTTACAAGCTGGGGGAATTTTTTAGGGAATATTTTTTGTATTTTGTCATGAACTGTATTCATGACAAACTTTTTTTTGTCACACACGTTCACACAGTACGTAAATATTACATAGCAAAAACAATTATTTAAAGTCTTCTTTAATACAGCATGATGTTCATTAAATAAATTATGTTTTTTCTTTTGAGTAAAATAGAGCATAAAGCAGTGCATGCTTTAGGGCGGGGCTACCTTGCGATTGACAGGTTGTTACCATGGCGTTGTCCTGTCTGGGAGTTGTCCATGTTTTCATCTTACAACTTAAACCCTTTTACACTGTTTTCAGCTCATATTAGCTAATTGTAACATTTTTGTCACCTACAAATGTCTCTTCCACGTTCGGTTGTAATCAACTCCACCCTTTCGTGTCAATTCTGGTTATGAAAAAACAAGATGGCAACAGTTTGTGGACATTTAGTCCACAAACCAATGGCTGACGTCATGGTGACAACATCCACTTCTTATATTCGGTCCATGGCGAAAACCCTTACTGTCGTAACATGGCCGGACAAAAGTGTATTTTGAAAGGGTGTCTGATAGATAACCGTTATCAACATGTGACAATACCTAAACTAAACTGTTTGACTTGGGTTGTGGAGTATATATTAGGTCGTATGATAAATGTCAATAAATGAGGGAAATGTCTGTAATTAGTGGGGAATGCAGGCTTGCTTACACCGTTCCAACACCTGCCTAGAATCCTTGTACAATAAGTTGATCAAAAAGTTAATTTACCGAGGTATGTCTTCAGTGTAGTGTACATTTTTATTTTATGTGATTAGTGAGAATGACTATGACACTTGCTACATGGATTATACAACAGCATTTTGAATGTCAAACCCACCATGATGACCCTGGCGAGGCCAAAGTCAGCCACTTTGCAGATGTTGTTCTCGCCCACCAGGACGTTCCTGGCTGCCAGGTCTCTGTGGATGTAGTTCTGCAACTCCAGGTAAGCCATGCCCGACGCCACCTGGGCAGCCATCTCAATCTGGTCAGAGAAACCCAGCGTGGTGCCCTTATCCTCTGTCATCAAGCAGAGAGGCACATAATCAGTTGCAGTCCTAATGTGTTTCAGGTATGATAGGTGGCAGTGAAAGAACACAGGAGCCCAAAGTGTCAGGGGCCCACAAAATATAATTCAACAAGATATGTACAAACAAATAAAAGAGCTGACAAAAGAGACACAAAGACTACAAAGTAGGGGTGTAACGGTTCACAAAATTCTCGGTTCGGTTCAATACGATACAGTGGGTAAGGCTTCAAATCTTCACACTAGAGAGGGTTAAAACTAAAGAGTGCAAAAGAATTGTTGCCATTTATTGTCAAATTTATTTCAACTACACTTATTTTCAAGGTGAATTTAGAAGGAAAAAAAGTCTGAAGAGGCCAAAACTCCACATGACAACTTCAACTCGTAGTTTTTTAACCTATATTTGCTTACCTTTTGGCAAATTGCCACCACTAAAATGTATGTCAAATTAGCTATTAACTATTGCTTTTTGCAGTGTATCCATGGATACACACACAACTATAACTGCATTACTTTGATACTGAAGACTCAGATTATCAGGGAAGTTCTGGAGTTAAAAGGATTGTCTTTTAAAAAAATAAAATGTTAAAAACGTTTAAGATACGGAAAGTGGGCGGACCTTGAATCTGCAATGGAATTTGTACACAGGGTAAGTGATTCATAAGCTACTGGGCTACCCCCATTAAAGTGAAATATGTGCAGCTGAGATCAAATTTTTGATTTATAAACTAGGATCTAGAATGGTTTTGTTGCTGTGGGATAAATCTCTACCGCAGCCTGACCCTTGCACATCAGCGTTGGACTCTGACCCTACCATAAAGAAGCAGGAGCTCATAATCACGTAGGAAAGTTGGTGACAGCTCGTCTTACTATTAAGGTACTCCAGCAGGCTGCCGTTGTTCATCAGCTCTGTGATGATGAAGATGGGCTCCTCCAAGGTGCACGCAGCGTACAGCTGGATCAGCTTGGGATGCCGCAGCCTCTTCATGATCTGAGTCTCTCTCAGGAATTCCTTCGGGTCCATTGTACCTGCGAGAGGTGTTCAGTGATGGTATATTAGGAGTGGAACTTTTTTTTTACCCATTCCTGAATAGTATGATCCACCTACAGCAAGAGAAAAGGAGGCAGTAGAGTACCAGGTTTGAGGGTCTTCACCGCGACTAATGTGGTTTCTTTCCACAGGCCCTCGAACACTTCTCCGAACTGACCGGCTCCGATCTTCCTCAGCAGCTTGATGGACTTGCGGTCAATCTCCCATTGGTCCACCATGTTGTAGGACAGGCCGTAAGTCTGCGGAGCCTCCCTCTACACGGACGGGAGAAGTTGCTGTTTACTGAGATGACAATGTGACTTTATAATGCATTTTTAAAAAGTGTGCCAAAGGAACAGAAACAAACAAAATAGAATTTAGACAATCAACAGGATGTGTTAAGTTCACAGCATGTCTGACTTTTTTGCATGGTTCGCGAAGCACGGCCTGCTTGGAGTAATGTTCCACTAACTCTTCCAGTGTTTCAAAGGATCTGCTCCTCGACAAAAAGTAGTGACCGTTCTCCAGTTTTTTCAGCTTGTAATGCTTCACCTTCCCACGGTCCAGCACTGAAAGACAAGTTAATATAGACAAGTCAATATGAGGGACGTACTCAAGAGTCAAGAACTGCATAAATAAGTTTTCCTCATGGCACAGGAGCTGAGGGAAAGTTTTTAATCAAAGCAAGTCAAAGCGTGCGTTTGTCACGGTCTTGCTCACACAACCAGCATGAGACATTCTAACGAGCTTAATGTACAATGAAGTTTCCATTTCCATTAATTTCTAAAATATAGATTTGCTGTGAGGAAAGAATAGGAAGTGCTGCACTGGGTCAAAAAATGTGGTTTTGGAAAAGTATGGGGTAAGTAGTCGAGTAACAATGAAAAGAATAAATAAGATAAAAGATAAAATAAAAAAAACGATGACTTTGAATGGAAGTCTGTGGTATTGGTTGGCAGTCTAAAAAGCATCCGAGGCCCTCTGATTGCAGGTTAAAAATCCTTTATTGATGTTTTTATTATTCCTTTGACTTGCTATTGTCAATATAGCATGTCATCATGATAGAAGCATGTTTCTATTAACTGCATTAACTGTGGTTTAACGCAGTGTTAATTAGTAAGGGGTGCCGTAATTTATACAAACAAGGATCAGGAGACTACAAAAGCAATGGAAAACGTCAAGTGGTTAATGGCCTGAGGTGCGCCTTTAATTGTTTTTTAAATGACAGATTATTACCTGTATGAGTTATATAAGGAGGTAGTAAGTTCCAAGCAGTAATTGCATGAAAGATAACTACTTTAGAGGAGGTTTGTTCTTGGGGTTAGAGGCATCAATGGGCGACCGTGGCTCGACTGGGATGTGTCATGTGTCGAAGTGTACCTGAGCAATACACTGAACCCCGGGCTCCCCGGGCTCCTGTCATTGGCAGCCCACTGCTCCCTATATACAGGGATGGGTCAAATGCAGAGACAAATTTCCCCCTTAAAGGGATCAATATAGTATAATAAATTAAAAAATAAATTAAAAAATCAATTGACCTGAGCTATTATTCCTTGTGTGATGGTTATGTCTGTTACATGTGTATTGTAACTGATTGAAGAAATATTCAGGTGTCTGATTAAATACTACGTTTCTGAAAAACATGAGAAGGCTATAGTGAAGTTTAATTTCCACTGAGAACCATGACAGGCGAGAGTGCATATATGCTGTATTAGTTATCGTTGAACACTGGAGTGCTAATCTGGCAGCTCGTTTTTTGAACCAGTTGTAATTTATTTATGTCCTTATCCGCTGCTGCTGACCATATGAATGGACAGTATAGCAGGTGACAAAAGACCAAGGACTGTAACACCTGACAAACAATAGAGAGTGTTAAATAAGCAAAGCACGTTCTGGTCATACCTATGCCCCTTCCCATTTTAGTGACAATGTGCTCAGACCACGACAACTGTTCGTCCAACACTACACCCAGTAGTTTAGTCTTCTAGACCTGTTCTATTGCCGAACCTGACATTGACAGGTGAAGCTGTGTGTCACCATTAAGCATATTCCTTGAGCCAAACACAATACTTTTAGTTTTAGAAATGTTCAGGGCTAGTTTGTTCACTTTCACCCAATCAGACACTCTCTCTAGATCCTGATTCAGAATGGTTGCAAGTTCCTGGTTGTTTGAAGCAGTGCTATACAGTGTCGTGTCATCTGCACACGTTACCATTTTGGCATTCTTAATTGACAAAGGGAGATCATTTGTGAAAATAGAAAAGAGTAAGGGGCCTAAGCAACTTCCTTGTGGAACCCCACAGCTAACGTATCTACAGTCTGATAAACTACCATTATAAAAGACTCTTTGCGATCTCTCAGAAAGATAACTGACCATCCAAGTTTAGTAATCATAATATCATGGTCTATTACATCAAATGCAGCACTGAAGTCAAGCAAGACTGTGCCGACCATTTTCTTATTGTCCATCTGTATCAGCCAGTCACCGTTAGATGGGCAAGGGCAGTTGCTGTTGAGTGACTGTCTGTATGCATGCTGGGAACTAGTAATGAGTGTATTCCGAATAAATAATCCAGCATTTGTTTGAAAACGATTTTCTCTAATAATTTGCTCAAAATGGGGAGTATTCTAATTGGATGGCTATTTGTACATGTGAAGGCTGATTTCTTGTCCTTTGCCACTTTCCAGACCTTTGGGCATACACCATACATTATGCATTTGTTGAAGATGTGACATATTGGAGTAGATACGTGATCAGAAGCAAATCGCAACAGTTTACCATCTAGATGGTCTATACCAGCCAGTTTATCAGTTGGCAGAGACAACAACATTCTCTCAATGTCAGGGGAAGTAACCTGCACAAAATCAAATTGGAAGTTTTTATCCTTCATCATATAATTCTCAATTAGTGTGCATGAGGAGGAGCCATCAGTGGGTGTCAAGTTCTTTCTGAGATTATCAACTTTACTCATGAAGTAATTATTGAAGTAATTGGCAATCTCTACTGGTTTGGTTAGGAAAGTACCATTATTTATTATGATAGGTATTGCTTGATGTGATGACCTACCCATTATATCATTCATAATTTTCCATAGTTTTTTTCCGTCATTCTTTGAGTCATTAATTTTACTCTGGTAAAACTCTCTCTGTTTCCCTCTGTTCAGTTTAGTTACATGATTTCTTAATTTACAGTACATTTTCCTATCAGAGAGTAAGCCAGATGTTTCAGCCACTTTTGTTTGCCTCATTTCGTTGTACTATAAGTATTTTTAAATCTCTACTGACCCATGGGGCACATTTTTCCTTTACAGTTGGTTTTTTCAATGGTGCATGTTTATCAGCAATTTACATAAATAATTTCATGAATATACTGAGTGCCAAATCTGGGTCCTCCTCTTGACACACTATTGACCAGTTTACATTCTTTACATCCTCCAAAAAATATTCTTCTTGGAAGTGCTTGTATGACCTTTTGTGTGTAATTCTACAGGCTGCTTTCGGGACTTTAGTTTTCCTTTTAAGTGCTATTAAATTGTGATCACTGAAACCAATAACTACTGATACTGCTTTAGAGCAGTGTTCAGGGGTATTTGTGAAGAAGTGATCAATACATTTTAAGTTAGCCTGAGCGAGGACACTCCGCTAACTGTGATAGTCATAAGTCAATGGACACAGTCCCAGTATCAGCTTTGTCTAGCTAGCATGTCACAGAGTTAACCTGAGCGAGGACACTGCTAACTGTGAAATCCGTCAGGTGTTAAATAAAAATCAATGGACACAATGTCATTGTCGATCTAGCATCTCACCAAGTTAGCCTGAGCGGGAACACCGTTAACTGTGATAGCCGTAATGTTACAAGCCCAATGGACACAACGTCAATGTCGATCTAGTCGACCTACTATCTCACCAAGTTAGCCTGAGTGGGAAGACTCTGCTAACTGTGATAGCCGTAACGTTACTAAGCCAATGGACTCAATGTCAATGTCGATCTAGTCGACCTAGTATCTCACCAAGTTAGCCTGAGCGAGGACACTCTGCTCACTGTGAAGGGCGGCCCGACAGCGTATACTCTATGCTCTCGTTAGCGCGCCACTCGATTAGCTAGAGCGGCAGCGCTCTGCCAACGGTGGAAAACGAACAACGGTTATAGAAAACAATGTTAATCAATCTTACCGATTGCTCCCTTCACGATTTAGGTGGCCCTTATCAGACTGGTGAATGACCGATGATAAGAGCATCCACCAGTCCGGGGCTCGATGGTCCGAACGGCGAAACATGCCGGCAGCTTGTCGCAGCCTTTAGAGGGCGAGAGATCCGCAACTCCGACCGGTGGTCACAAGGCTACAGCGACAAGCTCCAATATGTCTTGACCGTAGACACATCTTTGTTTAAGCTTATGCTACCATGGTAGCTAGCCTGCGTAGCGAGAAGATGAAAAAGGACTGCTCTCAGGATGACACCGGAACTTATAGACGACAGGGGTCATCCGAGGTCACAGGTGACTTTGTTGTTATAAAGACTCTACCTGCGCAAGTGCGAGCCAGAAGATATCCAGTGTTGAGCACTGCCTCTGGCGGTCAGTAAGGATGAAATAGAACCCATTTGCGATCTCTCTTTTTTGTGTTTTCATTTTCATTAGCCACCATAGGTTAATGGGCCGCTATCAAACCACCTACGTTTTGCTGCTCAATTGAAAAAGCGTGTGTTTTCTTACTTCTGAATTCTACTTCTTGAAAGACAAATCGCGTAATTTCATCTTTCAAAATGTACACAATCCCTCTTCAGAGGAGAACTTCTTTAAAGTTGCCACTGTAACATGTTTATCGTAGCTTACCCGAGAGGGACTGATCCCCTTTGTCACTTTCAGAGTTTCTGATGAGGAAGGTGCCTTGCTGATTCCCTCTTGCCAACAGCATCTTCTCTGCATCCAGCCTCTTAGTGTTGGGAAAATACCATCTGCGAAATCGGAATTCAAGCAAAAAAGAGCCGAGCGGGTCAAACAAAATGGTTTTCTGAATATAAATAATAATTTCTAAAGAAAATTCAACCGTCTGGGGGCCCAAAGTTTCACTGGTAATTTGTAGTGATTTTAAATTGGCTTATCGATTCTGTTGTTCTTACTATAACAAACATATATAACAATCAATAATGTCCTTTTTGCTGTTCTTTTGTTAAAAAATCCCCTGAAAGCTCCAAGCAAGTATTGTGTGTGTATCAAAGCCTGATATATCTTCTTCCTCTCTGCCATAGAGCTCCATTGTCCAAACCTATTAAAAGCACATCAGTGAGCATCAACTCATCAATGTTCTTTCATCATCATGACCATACCCACTGTTTATTTTCACTTACTTCATGCACAGTCCCGCTGTCACTAGAGCACCAAATGTGTATCAATCCGCCGCTAAAAATAGTGCCCGCCAAATGCAATATATCCTCCTGTTTAATCAACGATCGTTTTAAAATGACAGTGCCTAACTGTTATAAGAAATGCCTTAGCATCTTAAAAAAGTATAGCTGATATACAAGACCTATCTATCGTTAAAGACTCATATCCTCAGTGGGAACGAGTGGGTTTGGGGCTGAGAGTCACAGACGGGCTGTGAAGTCTGACTAATTATTGTCGGTTTGGTCTTTTCATGAATAAGATATGAGACCAGTCTTATCCCCTAAGACCTTTATTATTTTAGTCTGTATATCTTTTAATCCTAAATAATTTCCTGACCACAAACTAAATTCAACATACATAAGGAGGCGGTCTCTGGGGGCCCCACAATATATGTTTTACCCCAGACCTCCTGAGCAGGTTAATCCGGCCCTGATTAAACTCCAGAATAGCTATAGCTATATATAATAGACGGCTATGAAATTTAACCAGAAGCTTAGTCCACAAGCCCAGAATATTAAAATGGATTATTTAACATTACACATTCTGAAACCAATTATTGTCCATTCAGTTTATTATTTAGTGAAACTGTGACACAAATGTTGCCTGGACTGATGCAGGCAATCAGAACTATTTTTAACCCTGTGAACTATTTTTAACCAGATACAGCTGAGAGGAAACAGGTTCCACTGAGGAGGCTAAGTTAGGGGTGGGAATCACCAGAGGTCCCGCGATACGATATTATCACGATACTTGGGTCACGATACGATATTATCACGATACTGCGATATTATCACGATACTGCGATATTCTGAGTATTGCGATAACATATATTGCGATTTATTACTTTTTTCAACTTCAAATTATGTCCCCAAAGGAAAACTGTGTCAACATGTTTTATCTAATAAGATAAAGTTTTCAGTCTGTTCATCTCACTTCAATCATTTTTATTGTAGCAAAATAGGATTGTCAAGCAAACAGACTGACCAACAATGTCATAAATGTTGCATGAACCTGACAAACTGAACTGTTTGTATTACTACATAGTCCAACTTAACTAAATGCAAACGTGTGGACTCAGTATATGAACTATAACTTATATCAGTAGGATATAAGAGTTATATAACTTGCGATGCGTGGATGTCGAGGGCAGAGAGACAGTTATGCGCTGCACTCTCCCCATGAGCCTGGCTACTGTTGGCAGATTTAACCCTGTTGTGAGGCCAGATGTCTCTCTTTGTTTTGACCAACTTCCTACCAATCACGCTGACCCGGGACCTTTCCTAACCTCACCAGAAAACAACTCAGCACCATCTAGTGGACTGAAAAAGCAATTGATTTGATTTTTTATTTTTTTTTTAAATAGTTTATACTATAAAAGATCGATACTTGGCGTCCATGTATCGATACAATATCGGCACGCAAAATATCGCGATACTATGCTGTATCGATTTTTTTCCCCACCCCTAGGCTAAGTAGGCCGACAGTGGGTCACAAATACGGGGTGGACTCTCTTTGTGACGTCGCTTTTCCAAGAATTCGACTACACACGGCGATAACGGTTTTATTTGTGAAAATGCAGGGAGAGGTTACCACATACTGTAGCATCTGAGCGAGGCCTTTCATGACATGTTGAGGCGGTTACCTGCAGCCGCAAATGTTTCTTGCAAAACCAGTTTCTGTGACTTTCCAGAATGTCACAGTCGTTAAACAGAACATACAATAGAGAGCAGTCCTCAAACCATGAAATAAGTCTGCATTTTGGCGCTTTCGGGTTCCCTTGTGTCAAAGTCAAGGTTTTTTATTAAATGGGTTTTTGGTTAGATGCTTCAAATAAGGTCTTAGGTTAACACAAGCATAAGAGATTTGAAAGTTTATTTTTTTAATAAAGCTTTTACTTGTCTTCAAAAAGGCGATTGCTAACAAGTGGCTAAATTAAACATCATGTGTGGACATTATTCAGCACTAAAGACAGAAAAAAAAAAAACATGTCACAGTGTTTTACCTTTGGAGAAATGATTTAAACATTGCATGCTTCTTATATGTGGAATGGTGTTTTCTATCAGCGACCATGACATGAATATACTAATGACATGATGGGCTACTTACGGCTCTGCGTCGATACTCTCCACGGGCGCCACATAGTTAGCCGGGATGTATCCCTGTTTGGGTGCAGAGACCCCGGTTAGGGCTTTCACAAACCACCAATAGCCGGGACTTTTAACGAGAGCCTCTAAAATGTCCCCCACTTTAACGCTCAGGTCCTCCTTGGTGCGTGCGGAGTAATCGTGCTTGGCGATGTAATAAACCCCGGCTTTCGCCGGTGGAAGCAGTGATAAAGCTGCTTTTTTACGAAAGCATGTCTCACGAGTCTTCTCCATGGTACGGCCGTCAATCACTGCGAGCAATTCTGTGTTCGGGAGTAAGCAGAAACAGTTTGGGGGAATCCCTTCGCCTCCTCGCTCGTGTTCCAGATTACATAAAAAAATACAGATGGAATTTATAATCCCAGCAGCAGTCTTTCACCCCTCGGCACACACCCAGCAAACACAAACACACTCTGCCACTTTGTGCCTGAGAGTTAATTTGGTGCCAAACACCTGCACCTGCTGAGGAATGGGGAGCGGCTTCTCAATGCCCAAGTTCACAAGTACGGACTTGTGAACTGTTGGAGTATGGATTTGGAGTCTGGACTGGTCTAGCAGCCTTTGTCCAAATGAACATGTGAAAAAGTACATGTTTTTCTCAGTTTGGGGCCTCCGCCCTCAGTGTTTTTCTCCTCCCCCAGAACTGAGCTTTGGTGAAACCAGGATAGAGCGGACCATTGTGGGTCGGGACTGTGTGGCAGTAAGAGAGCTTTTATTTCCTCCTGTGATCACTCATTT